ATAAATAGTTCACAGAATTTGGATTTTTCAGAACTCTTGTCTTTACTCTCTCAAGGGGATGCTCTAATGTTTTACTCTTTAAGAGCAAGGATGATGAAGTAAAAAGACTTAGATTTTAATTCAGACATAATTAGTTAGTGAATGTGTAACTCTGGGAAAATTATTTTATTATTCTGAACTCACCTTCATTATGTGTGGGGAAAAGCACCCCCACACCTGGATTTGGCAGTGTGTTGTGAGAGTATAGTAGGAGAAACTGAATTGGGATTTTTCTACATCATCAGACCAGATATATAGTATTATGCCATATACCAAAAAAATGGGTATAGTTTCCTTTTTTTTGCACCAAACTACATTTTAAATCTATCCTCAAACCATAGGGGCATGTTTTGGGAATTCCCGGTGAGGAAAAGAGGTTTTAAAATCCTGAAGAAGATTGGCATTGAGGAATTCACAAGCAACAACCATAGTGAATTAATATTCAGCTGCTGTTTTTTATGATGCTAGTGACAGCCTTGTAGCCAAGGGAGGCAGGGACCCTTGAGCCCTCTTGTAGCTCCCAGGGCCCATTAGTCAGCCAGTGGCTCTAGGAGAGCATGACAGTTTATCAGCTTAAGCAGCTTCGGTCATAATGTTGACAAGAGGTTGGTCACTGGGTTTAAAGGCTAAAGAAAAACTATATGAGAGAGGGTAAAAATGTAAAAATAAAATGCTTTCTACCAAGATGCAGACAGATTGACTAATATCCTTTCACCTCCTATTGTCTTAGGACAGTTATTATCAACAGCGCCTGATGTATCTCAATATAACCATGCCTCTTTGTTGGTAACTGTGAGGGAGACCATTATTTTTGGTGAGCCTGGGAAGGATAACAGGAAAGAGAGCTGACATTGAAAATTTTTTTATGTTTTTGCCATAATTATCTTGAATATTCCTCATTTTTCATGAAGACAGTTTAATGACCTTTTGACATAGAGATAATTGTGTATTTTCAGTGCGCATATTTCAGATTAAAAGCAGAGGGTAGCTTTCCAGAAAGTGAAGAATCACTGGGCCAGGAAAGTGAGCCAAATGTTTGCTGCCTTTTTCCCTGGGAGCATTTGCTGATTGTAGAAGAGGGGGTGAGAGCCTAGGAGATTAACTGGCATTTTTGACAGCCTTGCAGAGCTATGAGCAGGAATTATTATTGGGGGCCTATCAAGCTGGGGTCTTGATAATTCCCCTATTCACTTTGGGTTGGGATTCTGAAGGGTTGCATCCTGGGAGAATAGTCAGCCTGAAATAGATAGGTCCTCATAGGGACTTCAGTTCTGATTTGAGTATCACAATTTATGAAGTCAGAATGAGGTGATGCTGAATGGCTTGTGGCTGGTGAAGCAAATGGAAATAATTTTTGGAAATGATGACATTATAACATTATCCTAGGATTAAAGTTATTTTTTATAAAAATTTTACAAATATAATATCTGAAACCTAATAAAAATAGTCAGATATTACAAGACAGCATGAAAACAAACAAGAGAAAACAAAAACAGAACAGGTACATAGGGGCTTCAAATAGTGATGATATCAAAATAGATTTTATAACAACTATAATTTTACTTTTTATGTTGAAGGATTTAAAAGACAATAATTAAAATATTGCAGAGAACTGGACATGATAAAACAAGACTCAGTTGGATATTCTAGAATTTAAAATACCGTAAGAGAAATTAAGTACTCAATGGATGGGTTTAACAGTTGATTTGCAGAGTAAAGAATTGCTGAATTAGAAGATAGGATGTATCCAGAAAGAAGCAAAAAATCCTTTCCACTGTTGATGGGCATTTATTTAGGTTGATTCCACATCTTTGCTATTGTGAGAAGTGTTGCCATAAACATATATGTACATGTGTCTTTGTGGCAGAATAATTTGTATTCTTCTGGGTATATACCCAATACTGGGATTGCTGGGACGAATGGTAGCTCTGCTTTGTGTTCTCTGAGCAATCACCAAACTACTTTCCACAATGGCTGAACCAGTTTATGTTCCCACCAGCAGTGGATAGGCATTCCCTTTTCTTTGCAACCTCGCCAGCATCTGTTACTTTTTGACTTTAAAAAGAATAGTAACAGAATAGATAACTTCTGATAAAATGGAGGAAGAAATGAGATTATAAAAATAATTCAGTAAGGAAAAGTGTGGTCTCTTCAAAAATGGACTGGAGCACATCGGTGTCCATATGAAAAAACAAACAAACAAAAAAGAAAATTGATCCCTACGTAAAAATTAATTCCAGTCAGATTTTACTGTATACATGAAAGGGAAAACAATAATACACTTAGAATGTCATTTAGGAGAATGACTTTATGATATTAGGGTGGGTATAAGACTTAAACAGAACAGCAAAAGCACTGAACAGAAAGAAAAAGATTGACAAAATCTGGCTTCACTGAAATTAGAAGTTTCTTTCATTGAAAGACATTCAGAGAGTGAAAAGGCCACATAATGGGAGAGTATATTTGCAACACGTATAACCAACAGAGGTTCATGTTTAAATGATTCCTGTATTGAACGTAAAGAAGAAACAATTCCATAAAAAAATGGGCAAGCAACTTGCATGAACATTGCACAAAAAGGATATCCAAATGGCCAATGAATAAATGAAAAGGCACTTGATAACATTAGCTATTAGAATCATGAGGAAATATACATTAGCTAAATCAAAATTACAGATGTTACCAAGTGTTGGTAAAGATTTGGAGCAGTAAGAACTCTCATACCCACAGGGTTGGTGAGAATGTATATTGGCATATACATTTTGGAAAACTACTTGGCATTATCTACTTAATTTTAAGATATGTATACTCTATGATTTAAATATTCCATTCTCAGGTTTATAACTGATGGAAGTGTGTGTCCTTGTGCACCAGAGACATATATGAGAATATTCATGGTAGAATTACTTGTAATAGTACCAAACTGTAGACAACTCAAAATGTCCATCAGCAGTAGAATGAATAAACAGACATATTCATACAATGGAATATGATACAGTAATGAAAATGAATGAACTGTAACCAAATAGAATAAATCTAACAAACATAATGCTATGTGAAGAAAAACAGACAGAAAGGAAAGTATTCTATGTGATTCCATTTATATAATGTTTAAAAATGAGGCAAAACTATTAATAAAATATTTAGTGTTTAAGGATATATCCTTAGGTGATAAAAGTACAAAGAAAAGTAAGAAAGTAATTGCCATAAACAGTCGGGATAGTTGTTGTCTTTGGTGGACACAGAGCCTGTAGTTATTGAGAGGGGGCATGTAGGGTGTTTTTGGGGTACAGAAAATGTTGTATTTCTTGAACCTTAAGGTGGTTACATGGTGGTCATGAATCTGTTTGTAATACTTGAGCTGTACTTTTTCATTTCATGCACAGTTCTCTATGTTATAATTTACTTGAAAAAACAAGCTAGTGGGACCAATAAACCAAATGATGACCTAGTGTTATGCTGAGAGCAAGTAAGATACCAGTCCTGAATACATAACTGGGACATTTATTGGTAGCTTTCCTCTCTGTTTATAGCCTAAATAATGCATTCACAGGGCTGTAGTGATAAATTGTCAAAATGAGGAAATGAAAATATGTCCCATTTTTTGATGCCTATTCAGGTTTAAGAGTTTTATAGGCATTTGTCATTACCGGTCAGCTTTGATTTTAAAATCTGACTTAAGCGAAGATCATGAAAGACAAACACTTTGTGAGAGAGCTAGGCTTTACATATTGCAGCACAGCACTGGGACTGGTATTATTTGTGGCTACTACAAACGAAAGAAAATCAGAGCCAGCATTTTCAAACAACATTCTCTGAAATATTTATTATGTTGAGTCCTCAGAGATATTTGCAAGAATTCTTTTAAGTTATTGCAACAAAAGTTCGAGGTTGTTTTCCTTACTTTGTGTCGATATATCAGAAACAAATCCTATTCACTCTCTATGTGCTAGTATTGAACTTTGAATCTACTGCGTTTTTTCAATAACTGTAAGCTATATCATTTAAATGCTGACAATTTAATGAAAAGAAAAGCTTTTACAAGAAAGATTAGAGGTCAGAAGGGTTTATCCTGGTAATAAGAGCCAAGCGTGGCATTGAGTTGTCTTGGCATATGAGATTATTCTGCATATCTAATTGTTACCACAAATTCAAAACTCAATATATTTAACTTAAAATTGTAATGGCAAGTTGGTTCTGCTGACACCTTCCTGGTCATTCCAGACCTTGCAAATGTAAATTTTATGTAAAACTTTAATAAAATACACATTTGTTGAATATCTACCATGTGGACTTGAATATATTAGTGCTGGAAAATTCAGCCTCTATGAATATGACATATGTGAAGAAGAACACACACACGCGCACGCGTGCGCATACATACACAGACACACACACACACACACAGTTACCATGGGTCAAAAGTAGCATGCTCTGCTCAACATTGTATATGCTGAGATCTCATCTTCATAAGGACCTTGCAAGGTGTCCATTTGTTGCTTTTTAGAGAAAAGGAAGCTGAGGATCAGAAACGTTAAGTTATATCCCTGAGGTCACAGAACTAAATGACAATGACCATGGACAAACAGAACACACCTTTAGCTGGTGGTTCCCAGGTACAGGATAAACACATGGTTTTGTCTTGTACATCTCTAAGCTGCATAGTTGCTTTGAAAGACTCAGTCTATTTGTGTAAAGATATATTAATATTTACCCTTTCAAATGGAAGTGAAAGCCAAATCTGCACTACCACAAATGTAGGAATGATTTGCCCACAACTTGCACAGAAAATAAATATTTTCTAGGCAAGAGTCACATAGCAAGTTCTCTGAATGGAAGAGGCAGGCTCTGCTTCCTGGAAGTATTTTCCTTTGAAATGCTGGCAAAGGGGAACTTCAGAGGCAGAGAGCCTGGTGTGAAGCTCTGTGGGGTAACTGAAATGCAGCGCGCCAAGTTCCTACCTTTTGATTGATTTTTATCGTCTCTTCTGTGTGGTAGAGGAGGAGCTTTTCCCCGGAAGAAGTCAGGTTAACGTACACCTGGAGGCAGGGGTACTGAGAAAGTTTCCAGCAGTCTGGACCGCAGCTGAAGGAGCAATTAAATGTTTCCGTGATGGATGCATTCAGCAAGGTGCATTGAGACTCTTCGGTCCACACGCTACAGAGAAAGGGGTGAGAGTAAACACAGGCCCAAGAGCTAATAGTGAGAAAGGCATCGTCTGAGGGAATTATTTCTCAGCTCCTGAAGCTGAAAACTCTTTTCTAAATCTCTAATATGATCTATCTGTGTAAAGTTTAGGCCTTCGTATAGAACAGCTTTAAGCAAACTACCATATAACATAGACAAACTTGGACACGCGAGAACGTTTTCAATGACTTCCATTTTATATGGTATTCTCTGGTATTTGACTTAAGTTCTTTTTTCCCTTATTGAACTCCCTCGTAACATGAAGCATGCTTTAAAATCATCACCTGTCCTCACCCTGTATTTACACATTGTCGGCAGCTTCTTGACATGCTCCAGCCCCTACCTCTGTATGTTTTACTTTGTACTTTTTGCATCCCAGATCCCTTCCCTCCCCGTTTGCAGTCACAGAAGGTATGAGGGAGAAGGAGCGGGGAGATGACAAAGGAGTGGAGGGTTGTGTGGTCCAGCTTGACAGATGGAAGGGCAGTGACAGAAAGCCTTAAGGTCTTTCTAATAAGGGAAAAAGGATAACTCAACCCTTTCATTATATCATGAGCAGTCACTTGCTGCACATTCCTTTCACCCTAATTGGTACTTCATATATAATACCTTCTTTTGTTCTTTCAACAACTGTGCAAGTTGGGAAGCAATTTCTTTTTAAAAGTGAGTGAATTGAGAAATCCCATGACATATGCAAGGACATATAGGCAGTAAGTGATGGAAACTGTGATCCCACCCATTGTTGTAATTCTCTAAGGTGCAGGCTCATTCTATTGTGTTGTGCTGTCTCCCCACAAACACAATGGAAAAGAAACTCTTTTATGCAGACTAATGGATGAATAAGGGTGTCCTGTTACCTCTCACCTGGAAGAATCCAGCTGCCCATTTGTCAACTTGTCATTTTAATATACCTTTAATTTTATGATCAAGATTAACATTTGTAATTAGGAATTAACACACCAGCAATCAACGGTTTGGTTTTGGGTATAAGCTGATCACCACAGCAATGAGAAACGTGTTTTCTTTGCAGATTAGTACCCTCTCCTTTTGCTAGACAGGCATCCACAGCTTCCTGCCCCTTCGCATGTGTGAAGTTTTATTCCAGAAGCAGGATACTAGACCTGATCCCCTCCCTCGGTGTGGCAAATTGTGTTTTCCTGGAACATGGGTGGTCACATTTTGCTTATATACTGAGGAAAAAATCTTTGATGGTTCTAAGCAGATGTGAAGATCTGAAAGCATTTTGGAATCAGCGACCACTTGGGGCCTGAGGCATCAGCACTTTCATTGAAAATGAGCACAGCTGAAGGCCATCAGAGAAACAGAGCAGAGCAGCCACAAATGTGAAAGATGATGCCTTAATTTAAGCAAATTACTGTATTTCAGCTAGATTTTGCTTCTAAAATGAAAGTATTAATTTAGATGGAGAAACAAATGCCACAAAATTGTTTCATTTTCTTTTGGATTGAAACCTCAATTTTTCATTAGAAAAGGTCTTGTTTCTTTAAGCTGAACTGCTGTGAGACTTCCCCCCATTCGATACATCAAGGCTGGGCTCGCCTGTGTTTAGAGTGTCCAATTTATGGACAACAGCCAGAGATGCTGGTGGGATTTACCACGTGGCTTACCGAGGGCGAGAGTACACTTGCTATCTCACAATTTATTTGCCTTCCTATCCATTCAATAAACCTACGGCAAATATTGAAATTAAAAGATTCAAAATCTGTTATTTTTAAAAGTAGATGCATAGCAGTGTTTCTCAGCCTAGAAGGCCCATTAGAATCACCTGGGGAGCTTTAACAGATACTGGTGACTGGGTCCCACTCCAGACCAATTAAATCTGACCTTCTGGGGTGACGATGATGGGGGCTGGGTATTGTCATTTTTAGAGTTTCTGGGGAAGTTGGAATATGCAGTTGAGAACCACTCACGTGGAAGGTGATGGAGGGGTTGGTTGGGGTGGAAAAGGGAGGAGGGTGGGGAACGGACAGAAGTGTGAAGTGGCAAGAATAGGGACTTTGGAATAAGCGAGATGTGGGCTTGAATCTTAGCTCTGCCACAAGTAAGAGCTGTAAGACACTGAGGAAATCATATTTCTCTTGAGCCTCAGTTTTGCCATTTTTATAATGAGTATATTTATACTTAACCTTACAGAGTAATTGTGATAATTAAACAAGTACAAGTCTTTGACGCCTGGTATCCATGTTATACATAGAGCTATATTTATTATTATTATTAGATAACATTATTGAAAAGTATTATTTACCAGGAACTTCTCAAAATTCTTATCAGGAAAGAAGGCGAGGAAGATGACCTTAGGGTTGCCTAAGTGATGGGGGAGGATGGAGGAGGAGACAAACAGCAGGGTTGCACCCTCCCAGTGGTATTACCTCTGCATGTATGAGCGCAGGAGTGTGATTCCCAGCAGAAAGTACATCATGATGGAGCACACCATCATGGCCAGTCCCAGGAGAATGGCTCGGTCCTCTCCTGCCTTCAGTGCTGTGACTGTTTTCCTTTTGTCCAGGAGGTCATGGTCTCTGATTTTCTGGTAAATATTTCTGAGGTTGAAAACAATATGATCTTACATAAAGTTTAGTTAATCAGCATGCCCCTAGAGAGCAGGTCAGTTTCTGTCCATGCTTTCCTAGGGCCCTCCAAACCTGCCTCAATGCAGCTGGACCTCACTGTGTGTCCACTACCTCCCACACAAGTACACACATGCATGCACACACACTCACAAGCACATGCACGCCTGTACATGTACCAGTCCTGAGCAGAAATAAGCCCTCCTTCTTTACTCTGGGGCCAATGTCTAACTGTACATTAATTTTCGTTCTATCTAATTCTAAAGAAAGAAACCAATCCCCTCAACCCTCAAAATAATGCTTTGGGTTTGTTGACTTTACCATTTAACCCAAAGCTGATCATTATTGATTTTTAAATAATTTTGGAATACCTAATGGAGCATTGATTCAAATAAATGGCAACATATACTTGGAATATATCAAATTAATCTTTCATTTCTCCTTCAGTAATGGATAGGCAGAAGTTATTTTTGGTTAACATTTTATCTCAAGCTGAGGGCTGCTTAGGCTTTGTGGCTTGAGATTGATTAGCAGTGTGAAGATGTAGAGTGGCGACCCAGCATTCTTATATGTGAAAACATTCGATTGAGTTAGAAAAGTGTCATTCAAATTGAGGCCAGACCTTATAACTTTGGACAGTTTAATTAGTATCTTTTGTTTTTTTATTTTAGGAAGGCAGGCAATGTAGGATAGAGAAAATCAAGAATTGAAATCAACTGTCTCTGAGTTGCAGCGGTTTCACTGCTTATTAGCTGTGGATTCAATGAGCAAGTGCCTTAGACTTTCTTTTTTGAGATGACGTCTCACTGTGTCACCTCAGGCTAGAGTGGCAGTGTGTGCGATCTCGGCTCACATGCAACCTCTGGCTTCCCTGGTTCACGCCATTCTCCCCGCCTCAGCCTCCCAAGTAGCTGGCCTACAGGCGCCCGCCACCACGCCCAGGCTAATTTTTTGTATTTTTTAATAAGAACGCAGGGGGTTTTCACCGTGTTTGCCAGGAGATGGTCTCGATCTCCTGCGCTCGTGATCCACCCGCCTTCGGCCTCCCAAGTGCTGGGAATTACAGGCATGAGCCACCTGCCCAGCCGTTCCCTTAGACTTTCTGAATCCCCATTGCCTGCAAAAGTGAAAATAATGTCTTAACATTGCATTTTAAATGGCCTAAGTGACATGATACATAGCAATCATTTAAAGAGAGTGACTGACATGAGATTAGGTAAAAAGTACTGCCCATTCAAAAAATGGAGTGGGGAGCTACAGCTCAATGTCACGGACCTCAGAAAACCCTAAAATTGCCTACTTATTTCTCCAATAAGGAATTTGTCTAATGGACAAAACTGCAAGAAAATAATAGGATAATACAAGATTAGCGGATGGAGGATGGATTTTGAAACCCAGTCTGGCGAGGAAGAAGGTTAGAAAAAGAAATGCGCAACTAAGTGCTGGAGGATGCTGGATTTGAGATTGAGAGGAAGCTGAGTAGGAGGCAATGCTCAGCGAATTCCTGGCACAGGCCTCGACCAAGAAACCAGCTCATATTTCTCAGTGTCTATTTTGAGGAGGGAGGACTGTGGATTGCACGGGCAGTGAAATGGGAAAATCGCTGGCCTTTAGAGCCTAGAAACAGCGAGGACAAATAAAATGCTGAAAATGGAAAAAGAAACTCTTAAGTCATTTTTTTTTTTTTTTAGCTTCAGGCAAAAACCAATATGCACAAGAATAACTTCAGATTTTTCATTCACATTTTTATCACTAATCACTCTTGTTGCTTGGGAGAGGAACCAGAGTAGACTCTAAAGTGGAACTTTGCAGGGGAGGGAAGATATGCCTGTTGTTTGTGCAGTTGTGTGTTTATTCAGGGCTTATATTTAGCTTTGTGCTCGAGGATGGCCTGACTGGTGTCTATAACCAATGTCTCTTCTGATTGGCTGATCCATTCTGGGCTGGTTGCTAAATATTTTGATTCCTTATAGAGGTGATAGAGTGCGTCTGTACTTAACATATTTCCATGAGGTTGTAGGGCTGAGTATTTATTAATCTAAGTATTGGTTGTGCAAAATTAACTGATTAGCTTATTATTATTTTAAAGTTCTCTTTATGAGGTGGTTTATATAAATCTTACTCTTTCCTTGCGAAGTCAGCTCATTGTAGTAGGAGAGTCAGAGCTAAATACAGGCCTTTGTTTATCATCTTTTCATGTCCCTGTCCTCCCTGGCTTCTTCCCGCTGTCACTTGCTCTTGGCTGCTCATGGTTATTACCAGAGGCCTGGAGAGCCCACATCTTTCATTGTTCCCCAGCTCCCAATCCCAGTGCCCCTGGATTAGCTGGCCTGCCCTGCTTTTGACTTCCACAGACTGGCAACCACCCACCCTCTGTGTTTCTTCATTTTTTTTTGAGATTTTGTTTGGAAATTGTAGGATTTACATCAAAGCTTTCAAAACTTCACCCTTTATGAACTCAAATTTAAAAAAATCAGTGTCCGTTAGTGGCTAAAGCCAGTGGGCTGAAAGCTTTTCTGAATCAGGAAGAGACAGGCCAAGTCTGAGTAGCTTCAAAGACCTGCTGTAAAATAATAATCTGCTGTTACTTCACTAATGTTATTTATCAACATGTATTTAACTCTGATGGCTGCCATCGAGGTCTGCATTTCCTGCAGATGGAAGACAGCAAGGAGGGAGCATAATCTCACAATTCCAGGGTATTAGACTGTCACACAGCATCACTTATGTCAGCCTATACCCGTAAAAGAGAAGTGTAATCAGTCAGTTGTGTCATCAGAACAAGAAGCATATAAAAATGATTCAAACCTGTAATTCAAAAACAAATCACAATTTGAAAGTGGTTAACAAATGTTTTTGATATGCTCTGGAATGTATAGAGAGGGGAAAAGTGAACAATTTTCATAGAGCCCCCAAAGTATCTGAGAAATCAGGATACTACCCAGCAAAATGAAAGTGGGTGAGTGGAGTGGGCCGTGCCCATGGAATTCATTAGTAAATGATGATCGAATTAATGGAAAATAAAGAAATGAATACATGATTTGGAAGAGCAAAGAGTTCAGTTTAGGTTCACAAACTTCTCCTGAATGCTGGTAACCTCTTGTTATTGGGGATATGGGCCCTGCCCAATAGGAAAACAGATAAGTATATAAATATCAGCATAGGATGAAAAATATAATGATGGAGCAATTCACAGAGTATTACGGGAATAGAGAAGAGGGGAGGATACCCCAGCCTGAGGAAGCAGGACGGAGAGCCAGGGTTGAGTTTAGGGAAGGGTTCCTGAAGGAGAAACACTTTAAACAAAATATTCAAGGTTTAATTAGGGTTAACCAGATGAGACAGAGTCAAGGGTATTTTAGACAGAAGGACTCACATGAGCAAAGCGATGGAAACTTGCAATTGCATGGTGAATATCAGAAACTATAACTGTTTTAATATTACTGAGATGCCTATGGGACAGGGAAAGAGGCAGATGAGTTTGCAAAGGTAGGTAGGCCATGAAGGGTTTTGTAAGTCATTCTAAAGAGCTTGGCCTTTACTCTGTAGTGAATGGGAATCTGTCAGAGGGTGACATGACTGAGTTTCAGAATGATCACTCTGACTTCTGTGCAGAGTTTAAGAAACAAGATGAGGCTTAAATCAGAGAGAGGAATGGGGGGACTATTACTGTAGTGTTGGCAAAGGACAATGAGGGCTGGATCTAGGGTCAAGGTAGGATGTATGAAGATGAAACGGTACATGGAGAAATACCTACGGGACAGAACTTCAGGATTTGGTGGCTGATAGAATACAGTGGATGATGAGGAAGCAAGAAAAGTGATGTAGTTTAGATTTATGCTCCAGTACTTGGTGTGGATGACTGGAGAAATGGTGGAGAGTAGTAAGGTGAGATCCTTGTTTCTCTGTTTCCCTGCTCTTCCAGGATCCAAAGAGGTGACTTCTGCTGACCTTGCTAAAGAGGAAGAAAGTGATTGTACATTTATAGATTCTCTTCCCACAGGTTTAGTGTCCTAAGTACAGGCAGAGGAGTGACTAATCTCAGTGGTGAGATATGCCAGAGTCAGAGGGCCACCTCTATTTTCTGGGTCATTGCTAATGAGTGGCATAATTTTTGTAAAAAAATATATCATTTTGGATTTGTTTTTGTTCAGGCCTGGTGTGCTTTGGTTTTTTGCATGTCCAGGTAGTAAGGGTAGTAAGTCTCAGTTGGAAAAGAGAGTGTTCCCAGCCTGAGACAGAGTGGGTTAGTTGGCCTCTTCTACACCATGTTGTCTTCAGTGTTAGCTGGAAGGAGCATGATGCCATATTTTGGGCCACAGGCCTATGTGTCCTCTTCCATACTAGGAAGCCGTGTAATGTATGAGTTACTGTGTAACTACTAACAAGGCTGATAGCTCATCACCCTTTGGTTCTTTCTGCCTATTCTTTATGAATCTATCTGAGAGGAGTTGAGGGTGGAGGTGGTAGTGCTGAGAATAATGGAATGAGGGCCGGTACAATTCACTGATGTAGAGAGCTCAGGAGGAAGAATGAATCTGGGGTATGACTACAAATTCAGTTTTGGCTAAGTGTGCTGCCCAGCAGTGGGCATAGAGCAGGAATTTGACTTTATAAGTTTGACGCTGATCTAGCCTTGATGTGTCCTGCAAGGACACATTTAAGGTCTGTTGAGATAGTCTTGGCTTCATGGTGAACCACATGTTGACAACAAAAAATAGTAGATATAGTGCAGTCTTTACTATATATAGGGAACATTCTGCTCAAAGCCTTTGGAGAACAGAAGTTATTAATATATCTACAGGGCAAATCCAAGTATAACAAAAGTGTTTGTGGTAAATGTCTTGTAAACAAAATATTTTCAATTGTTTAGTAAGGCTTCAATAAATTTTACCCCGGGTAATAGTCAACCTAGTAGAATTTTGTTTTGAGCTCCTTTTGTATAGTTTCTTGAAGTTTGATATTGGGGCTCA